GGTCCATCGCCGTAAAATAGCGACTGGCCGCCACCCGACGCCGGATGGCATCCTGATCGGGCAAAGGCGACGACATTTTGCGAGTATTGTCATTCCGCGCCCATAAGTCGACCGTGTTGCGCATTCCCCCGGATGGTTTGCTCAAGAACATGATTGGCGCAGCGTTCGTCCCGCTCGCATACTCCCATCGTCCGGAGTTCAAGAAAATGTCGCGCTTGGTATTCCACTGCTCTCGGAACCCTTCAGGACAACGGGAAGCGCGAAACGGATATCGTTTATCCTTGTCAATGATAGGAATACGATGGTTCACGCGTCGTAACGGAGGTAGCGTCGTTTCTGCCGCTTTCTGGTATAAAGGAGACGCATACTGATGAAGCTCCCTTCGAATATCCTCCAAAGATCGCTCCCTGATCCTTGTCGCCCTGGATGCCAGGATACTAACGTCTTCGCCAGCGCGAAGACCTTCAGGCGTCTCACATCCGACAATTACCCTCGACGGATTCAATCCGACCATGATCTTGTGCTGCCATATAAACGGCGTTCCCAAGATCAGGTCGTACCCGTCGATATTCATAATATCGAACGTACATTTACACGCGATGCGTGCATAACTTAATTCGACCTCGGTGTAGTAATTCACTTTGGTCTTCGACCCTTGAGCGGCCAGCTGCACTGTCAGTTGGGTATCCACAGGCACCTTCACAACCTTCAGCTGCTCCGCAAGTGTGCTCGACATAAAGTCGCCGAGCGACCCAGAATCAAGTAAGGCGCGGCATTCATGCCCATTAACCTTGACTTTCAGCACGATAGGCCGAGGTACTTTCCGCCCTGTCGATTTCACTCGCGCTGCAGTTCGCTGCAAGGAGGCGAAGCTCCCCTCAGGCGGCTGTTTTACCTTAGCCATACACACTCGAGACGCCCGATCAGGCTCGACGTCAGTATCCGAAACGGCAAGCCCGACGCTAGCGGCCCGGAACCATATCGTGTCATCGGCGCCAACAGCGTATAGGACACCGTCAACAAGGAATACCTCGCCCTCCGGAGCTCCGTCTATGGAGCCCTCATCCTCATCAGACGAGGGGATGTTGAACCGCGTCCCAGGTGGGTATTCTCCCATTTCCGATTCGGATTCCTCACCACTGTCAGGGTCCTCAGTGACTAACGGGGCCTGCGGGTCATCACTCGCCCATCGAGGTTCGCCCCAATGCCACTCCTGAAAGAAGTCGACGTCTTCCATCCCAAGTTCGTCGTTTTCGAACTGCCGCGCAATGTCAACAAATTCCAGCATGCGGGCTCGATACCAACCAACGAAGTCGAAGCTTCGCCGCGTCAGGAGTTCTTGAGGGACTTCAAGCGACGTACTAAGGTACGGCTCATTCATTACCCATGGCGTGTACCCGTCCTCAGAGAGCACCATGTAGGAGTCGATAGCGAACTCTTGTGTCCAGATTTCCCAAAGGTGCGGCAGCCGGTCAATCTGCGCCTCAACGACCATCCCCATACGGTTAGCAACTGGGTCACCGAACCGCGAAGATCCCTCGATGAAAGCGTCACGTTCCAGCCTATGCGCTCGTACGGCATCCGGACACACAAAGGTACTATCAGATCCGTGCCTCTCATATGCCTCACAGGTTTGACGTACGCGGTGCGTCATGCCCCGCGTCTCTAGATAGTCAATGATCCAACGATACCAGCGCCGCTGATACCTCCGATACCAGGCATGTGCATCATAGGCCTCCGTCCGAAGCTCCTCGTACGGCGGAGGGTTCCCAAACGGGTCCAACCCGTCGTCCTGTACAAAGGCCGTGTCGGTCCCAGCACCTTCTTCCTGGTCGTCCTCGTCCAATCGGAACCGCACTGACCCACAGGGTAACTCGTCTAACACCTCAGGTTCGTCGCCATCGCCATCGGTTACCTGAATGGCATCATCGGCCAGTTCACTACTGTCGGCATACCGAACGGCATAGCTGGTCTTCGACCCCGGAGCTTTATCTCGCGTGCTACTCGTAACCTGCTGTCCTTCGGGGCAGTTTCGACTCATATGCCCGGCTTTGTGACACTTGAAGCACAGGTTATTTTCCAGGTGTTCTTTCATCTGGGCCTCGGACAATGGTGAGTCTGATTTAGGGTTACGGTCCCGTCGTCGAGAACGATCACTGCTCCGCTGTACGCCAGGACCGGTCTCCTTGACCTGTGCGTTCGACTTCGCCGCCGACACCCCGGACTGGTTGCCATTATTACCATTCCGTCCGATCTGGCCACCGTTACCGCCGCCCCGTCGGCCCCTGCCATAACCCGTCTTCTCAAGTCCGGAGCGAGGGGATCCGAAAGCGGCACCACCACGGTGCAAGCTATTGTTGATTACTCGTTCAGCGATCAAAGCGCTCTCAAGTACGTCATCGTACGTATCGATATCGGGATGAAGACGGTCGCGATACAGTTCCTGACTGATCTCATCGTTTAGGCCTTGCCAGAACCGATGAACGAACTGGCGATCAGAGATCTCTCCACCCAGATCATCACGAAACCCTTCCATTGTTGCCGCGTACACCTTTACTGATGATCCCTTCTGCATCCAGGTGTTCCATCGCGCCCGGATGGCATTCATGAAGCCATCGGGGAAACAGTAGTTGAACAACTCATCAAAGACGTCTGCCGTCCATTGCTCAGGGCTCTTCACCACTCGGATGGAAGAA